TCAAAACTCTCTTTCCGCATCTTTGCTGATGATACAAATGTTTTCTTCTCCTCGAAAGATGTTAGCGAACTGGAGACTGTTATGAACGAGGAGTTTAAATTATTGATAAATTATTGTAGTATTAAATATAAACTATCAGTTAATTTTAAGAAAACTCACTTCATGATTATAACATCAAAAAGAAAGAATATGCCTGTAATAAAAATTGCTAACGTCAAACAAAAAAGTTATATAAAGTACTTAGGAATCTTCTTAGATGAGCATCTTAGTTGGGAGTATCAAATAAAACATGTAAATAATAAAATTGCTAAAAATGCAGGTATAATAACTAAACTAAGATACTATCTCTCTATGCTAAAGCAACTCTATTACACTCTTGTCTATCCGTATCTCAGTTATGGAATTATGAGCTGGGGGAATACATATACATCAAAGATGAACAAGATAAGAACAAAACAAAATAAAGTTATCAGAAGTGTATTTTTTGCTCATTCTAGCTAGGGAAAATGTAACTTCGTATTTTAAACTTCTTGGGATTCTGAAATTCGATAATATATTCAAATTAAGAATTGCTGAGTTTACCTATAAACTTATAAATATGAAAACAAATGTTCCAAGAGAATTCTCATCCTTTGTTCTACAAGCTGCTAATCAACATACCTATAACACTAGATATGCTAATAAAATGAATCTTGTAAGACCAAAAGTAAGAACTAATTATGGAGTTCATACTTTCAAATTTATTTCCTCAAAAATATGGGAAACTATTGATATCGATATTAAAAAATTATCTTCATTAATTCTCTTCAAAAAAAGCTACATGAATTTATTATTATATAATCAGTATTAATTTTCAGTTTATCAATATGTTCAGTGAAATTTAGTTGCAAATACTTAACCTAATTGAATTATATCGTTAAATGTTTCAGAGGCCGGCTCGAAAGCTATGCTACTTCGGTCTCGGTACACTTCCTTTCTATGTATTAATATTTAATTCTATGTATATTCTCTATCCATCTGTAAATCAATTTGTATCTTTTGTATTTGTATCTTCTTGAAATAGTGTGAAATAAAAGTTATAGTTATAGTTATAGCCGGCGATTATTTCAAACCCTGTGCTATATATTTACTTCAATGTTATGACTAATTTTGGGTATTAGGTATGGAGTCTTCTGGCAGTTTTAAGTATTTTGTAACATTTTGATCCATATTTATCAGGTATTTTATAGGATACCACAAACCCCCCTGGCTAACCCCTACAAATATGGGCTATGCCCATTGCTGCCATTTGACTATTGCGTTCAATACCCGAACCCCTTCTGTCGAAAACCTCAATTTTCAAAGGGGGCAGTTAGGCATTTCTCCAGATGGGTAATTGGGAAAAATGAAAGGAGAAAAATGCTGTTTCCAGATGGGTTAAAATGCAAAAATGCATTTCCAGAGGAGGTTCAAGTCTCTTCCAGAGAGGTCAATTACACAGATTTTTTTGTATTCCAAAGGGAGTTATAATTTCCAAAAGCAGAGGTCCTTGACAGGGGGATTTGGTTTTTAAATGTAATAGCAAAATGAGGCACTAGGCTGTTTCGATATTTGAAGAAAACCGATACCGGAAAAAATACCGATATATCGATATTTTCTCAATTGTATTTTGCTTAATTTTATGACAAATTTGCTTAATTTATGCAAAATTTTCTGCTTTCAAATGACGTCAAAAAGCAGCGATATAACAAGAGAAATGCTTAATTTGGGAATTGAAAATGCGTATATTTGCATTGATTATCCGCACTCAGAATGAATCATGTGTTATTTTTTGGCCGGGAAATTTGTTTCAAAACAAGTTATTCAACTGCGAATTTGAAACAAAGATTGTCAATGTCATATCTCACCAGATGGCAGATAAATATAAATGTCTGATGAGGTTAGTTTTTGGTTTTTTAGTACATTTGTAATCCAACGTTGTTTAGGTTCTAAAATTTCATTTTTTCGGACAGGGAATGATTTTTCTACAGTGTTAGCACATTGATCGTCTTTGTCTATCTGAAATGACTTCAATCATCACTTGAAAAAGCTTGATATGACGTTTAAATATTCAAACATGATATCGATAATACCGAGAAATAACTAGAACATTAACAACTGTAATAAACCATTTTACTTTGTCACGTTTGGTGAAAACTGAAAATTATAAATTAAAAACCACACATGCTAATTCAGATACCAGGCACGCAGATTCGAAAACTAGATGCGCAAAAGTCCGGAAAATTTTGATCACGGTTGCATAATTTGCAAACTTTCCAGTCTGGTCAGCCCAAAAGCTTCTTCTGTTTTACAATTAATTGTTTTCTTATTTTTTATAGTATCCAAATCAATTTGAAGCATTCAGAGATGCCAAAACTGCCTTAGAACAATATCAAACACTAATTAAGGAGGCTCCCTACAGTTCCGTGCGGGATGTTCGCGGGACAAGTACGTGAACTATCCCACGCAACTGCATGATCAAAACAAAACAAAAATTGACCATGCTTTTTTAAAAATAAAGCTATTTCTGAAAGGTTTCTAATGGAAAAAAAGCGTTCAATAATACTTCGTTTTGAGTGCCAAATCACTTGCGAGTCTATACAGCAATTCTACATATGATACGAATATCACTAGACCAAAAAATAGCTACGAAACAATATTTTTTAATTTTTTTATACACTGTCAACTGACTCAACTGTAAAACATTTGCAAAATTGCATACAAACGTTTAAAAAGTTGTTTACTTCTCAAGAAAACGGTCACGTTTTTAGTCGTGTTTCTACAAGATTAAAGTGATTATATGTAAACAGAAAAATATTTCAGTTTCATAGCCTAATTGTTCATTTTTAGCAAAAAGTACAAAACCAAACATGAAACAAGAAAACACGTCCACCTGTCAATAAGGGGAATTTCTCGAGTTACACGAGGCTATTTTCTAACTTTATTTGCATTTTACTCATTAGTTTCATCGGTGACCTATCTTCAAATTTTGACCACGAATTTATTTTGCGGTAAATTTTATAAATTTCAAATTTTAAAAAAATCTGTAGTGTGGACATTTCGCAATAAATATTTCGCTTTTAAAAAAATCACACACTACAGAATTTTTTTAAACTTTTACCACAGTTGCAGATCATCATTCCTTATTGATATATGAAATAAAAAAGATAGGTCACCGACATCGTTTTTGAGATAGCGGCACATTTATGGGTTAAATTGGAAGGCTTTATGCTGTCGTCATGTTGCCATGGTAACATTGACATCGTCGAAATCTAGTTCGAAATATTCCTTAGGTGACCAATATTGCCACCAAGTCGTAAAGAATTCGCGTTCTGCATGAATAAGCCTGTTTTACGGAATTATTGCTTAAACACGAATAACTGTAGGGAGCCACCTTAAGCTGATTTTAAAAATCTGCCGTAAGTTAAATTAGTATAATTACATAGGTGATTATTGAAAATTCTCCACGCTGATTGGTTGCCGTTGTGGTGATTATTACGCGATAATCACCTAAGCGATTTTCAAAATGGCGACCGAAGCTGTTTTGTCAATTAAACGACGAAGAAATGTCTATTTTTTCTTTTTTTCTAAATAATCACCTATGAAATTATACTAAAACAATTATTCACCTCAGGCTCGGTGATTATCGTGAATAAAAACCTCGACTTCGTCTCGGTTTTTATTCACCGATAATCACCTCGCCTTCGGCGAATAATTGTTAAATATTGAAATTTTGTGTTGTGGTTTGCATGTGCATAAGGATGAACAATACACCTTTTCAGGCGACACCATAAGTCGGGCCAACACAATAGATCAACAATTCCATGAACTAGGGAGGTAATGTTTCTACCATTGTGTTTGCCCCACTTTGTAAGATGGCATGCGAACACCAAAAATGCCACACTGCAGAATTGGTCAGAGAAATCCTCAATATTTGTTCTGGGAAAGATGTTTATAACAATTTTAGAAAGCTACGCATTGATCAACCTCGCAAGTAGCGCCGTGCGGCAGTAAAAGACCCTGGCTTGTGAAGTTGCACGTTGATAGGGATTCAACTATCTGAAAAATGCAAGTAAAATTTTGACGTTTTGAGCAAAGGCCCTTGAGAAAGTTAATGGACCAGACGAAAGGCCTTCACTCGAAATGTCGAAGTTTCACCTGTATTTTTCAGGTAGTTGAATCCCTGTCCATCTGCAGTTTTTTATGTTTTTGTCACTACCTACACTGGCACAGAGTGTTCGAGTTTATAACAATTTTTATCTGCCTGAACTCTCTATATTTAATTTTTTCTTAACCTGTTCAGTCACTTTTGTGAATGTTGCCATTGCAGGTAATAACTTGATTCTTCCCGACAAGAGATAATGAGCAAACAACGTACGGCTTTGAAGAGAACGCTATTGAGCAGAACAACATCTGAGCAAAAAAAATGCTAAGAAGTTTAAGCCACTAGATGAGAAAACTGAAAGAACCGCAACCTCAAAACTCCCAAATTGGATTAAAGTCTCTGTAAAGCATAGAGAGAAGTTTAAATGGCTTTTAGAACTGTGGGAAAATGATCCTGAATCGATAACAATGGTGAATGGTAATGCCGTATGTTTTCGAGAAGAGTTCGCAATAGGTATTTCGTAGTTATTTCCCAAACAGTTTATGTTTTGGTATTACTGACTGAAAATTAGATAGTCATATATAATATAACAATTGTGCTACAATGTGACGCCATAGGTTTAAGTAGTTAATATGTATGGATTGTGTAAAATAGTAAATCAGTTATGTGACATGTAATTTGTTGTTCTGTTAGATCATGTAGAGATAAATGTATTTATGTTTATATTTATATATTGTAGTTAGTTTCACGTGCACGACCACATCAGCTATGCTGTAAATTTACCATCGTGTTTAAATAAATGATTTTATTTTTATTATTATTATTATTAGGCACGGGCAGCCATGGTGAGGTGTACATTTGCTTGGGAGAAGATGGGATGGAACGTGCGGTGAAACGTTTGCCAAAACTCTTGTGTAAGAAATTAGTGGAAAATGAGAGAGACATTTTGACTTCTCGGAATGCATTCGAGTCGCTACGAATTGTAAATTATTGGTTCTACGATGACACTTCCAGCCCTGATTTCATTTATTTGATTCTGAATTTATATGAACAGAATCTGCAAGAATTTTTTAGGGAGAAAGGCGAAAGTATGACGGAATCCTGTGCTAGAAAGATGATACGTCAAGTGTTGGAAGGGATGAAAGCATTACACGCTAGAGAGCCTAGAATTCTGCATGGAGATTTGAAACCGACTAATATACTTGTTGATGTGAAGGGTAATTTACTGCTGTGTGATTTTGGTATTGGACGGTTTTTCCCAAAACAAGGTATTTTCACAAGATATATATGTTATTTACCGGCTGCGAGGTCCGGATGAGAAAAATTGTGCCCAAGGTCTTGAAAACGGCCCGAGCCCGAAGGTCGAGGGACGTTTTCAAGACCGAGGGCACAGTTTTTCTCATCCGGACCGAAGCTGCCGGTAAATAACGTGTTTATTTTTTATCAGATGTAAAAATTAAATTCATTAAAATTCCAGTGTTGCTTGCAAACTAATTTGAGATCAGTGCAATTGTGTATTTTCAAAGCGAGGCTGACAAAAATTGAAAAGTTGAAAGATATAAAACACGAATACGAAAACTCGAGAAAACTGGCAAGAAACACACAAAAAGACGTATAGTTTCAGTAAAAATGTACATGCTTTTTTCATGAATATGGTAGCAGAGAAACTTTGGAATAAAAACTTTTATGCCTGGCGTTTTGACTTTGACAAAATCAATTGCTCCTAACAACGACAGGTTCATATTCAGATCCGATCAAAAACATATAAAAATGAATCTGTTTTGATTTAATCAACGTTTTTCTACTAAAAAAAACAATGAAAAAGGTATGTTATTTTTATATTTTTGTATTTTTGTTTGTCGTTTCACGATAATATGCTTGAAAAAAGTGCTTTTAAACACAAATTTTTACTTTGTTTACAATATTTATATCATAGGTCTCCCGAAAAGGTCTTTTATTTAAAAAAAATCCATACAATTTACTTTAAAATACAATGCCTTGACATGCAATGCTTCAATGTACAGTAAAACCTCTATAATTTGTATTACATAAAGTACGTGCAACATCACAATAGCGTTGTGTCATTATGTATACACGGCAAAAAACGCTCAGGTTGATGCAATACTGATGAAAACAGGATTGAACAATGTTTTGCTGCCCACATTGTTCATAGCTGTCAACAATATTGAACAATATTGTTACACCCGATTCAGGCTCAACAACATTGTTTAATATTGTTGACAAGTGTGAACAACGTGGGCAGCAAAACATTGTTCATACCTGTTGAGCAACGGGCTCGGCGTTTTTTGCCGTGTATATAACCCCAAGGTTGGCAAGTAAATACAAATTTAAACTGTATACACAAACTTAATGACAAAAAACTCGTACATAAACATCGAAATTCATTAAAAAAACTAACTCACTATGGTAAGAAATAACTGTGATACTTCTATATTGTGTTTTTTCACTTTTAAACGAGTTAATTTTGCGAAAATTTCAAGGAAAATTCATCAAATTCGTAACTCAATTTGATCAAAACTATGCGGGATGATGGCTCCCGGCGTTACGTCACAAAATAAAGCTCTCTGATTCGCTGGGAAATTTCAGCCAGCCAATCGGAGAGTTTTTTCGAAATTTTAAATATTTTCAGCAAATCAGAGAGCTTTATTTTGTGACGTAACGCCGGGAGCAGTCATCCCGCATAGTTTTGACCAAATTGAGCCATTTTCCTCGGAATTTTTGCAAAATTAACTCGTTTAAAAGTGATGAGAGAAGAAAAAAACACAATATAGAAGAATTACAGTTATTTCTTACCATAGTGAGTTAGTTTTTTTAATGAATTTCGATGTTTATGTACGAATTTTTTCGACATTAAGTTTGTGTATACAGTTTTAAATTTGTATTTACTTGCCAACCTTGGGGATATATATTACATAATGACACAACGCTATTGTGATGTTGCACGTACTTCATTTAATACAAATTATAGAGGTTTTACTGTACATTGAAGCATTGGATGTCAAAGCACTGTATTTTAAAGCAAATTGTATGGATTTTTTTTTAAATAAAAGACCTTTTCGGGAGACCTATGTTTATATCAGTGAAAAATGCATGACACAATTCACAAATGGGTAGAGAATATATTCGTGACTTGTTTTCACTGCTGCAGTTGAACCTTCTTTTAAATAGAAAGACATTTATTTTACAATATCTGTTTAAGCTGTAATTTTTTCGCTTTTAAGTGGCCGAATACATGAGCATTTAAAAAATATATAATTTTCTCGACATATTAAAGTTTTATAAATGTCAAATAACTTTCAGTCGCATTTCTATCAAAATATTGTCAATTCTGGTGAACATCGTGCTTAGTATAAAGTCTTTAGGGCTTGATGCAATTCATTTTCGTATTCTGACTATCGTTAGGCTATGTTTTTCAAACGTTTTTGGCAGATTTTTTCGTTTAAAAATTGTTTCACTCCTCAGTTTTTGGCGCGAAAACCAGAGCGGGCAGTTGCATTTCACAGCGGGCAGTTGCGTTTCAGAGCGGGCCGGATGAAAAAAACCGGCCCGCTCTGAAAGACTCCTCAGCCAATCAGATTGCTTCATTTTACTGATAAAAAATAAATATAGTTATTGAAGTATACAACCCACAATAATTTATCGTTGAACAGAACTGGCTTGTTCTTTAAAAAATATTCTATTTTTGACCTGGGATAGTCCAGTTCATGAAGTTAACCCCTCATGTAAATCATTTAACTTCTTTAACTAATAAAGAAGTTAAATGATTATACTATGATTAATAAATGTTATATTAATTAATTATGAAGTTAAGTGATTATACTATGTTTTTCGACATATTATTAGCACTGACGAAGATCCGGGCTTACGGATCGAAAGCTTTGCAGTAATAAATTTACGTGGTGTTTCTACAAACAAAACTTCTAAAGTTAAAGAAGTTAAAGGAATTCTAATTAATTAAAATTCATTTAATTAAATTAAGTGATGTTTTTTTTAATTTAACGTCTTTATGTTAAATTATGTATGAGAGGTGGATTGTTGTTAAATGGGTTAATTTTACTTTTTTACAGATGCAACAACCTGCCATACTACTAACGAAAGTGCCGGTGGGTCATTTGGCTGGGTCGCACCAGAAGGTATTGTTAAAATCTTTGAAGGTTTGATATATTAAAAGATAAAAATATAATACTAAATGTAAATTTCTCTGCTTTATTTGTTCTTCTAGATTATTACAAAATTAAATAAGTTTTGTCTAACGTTTCGGTTTCATCATACTGAAAAGATTTATTCATAGATTGAGCATAGCTAGATACATTAAAAATATATAAAATCCATTAAAGCAATTCGTTTAAAAAGGTTCAAGTTAGTACAAAGTGTCAAACAAACTAGTATTATTCATATAAAAAGGAACTCTAGTGCCCCTCAAACACAGAAGGGAAGATCTCAGCAGACTAAAAGAGAGTTTCGTACGTAGCCAAGACATAGTTATTGAGTATGGTTTGCCAAATTTGGCTGCCAGCTTTGTAGCAAGAATCTTGTGAAATCTCGCACATTCTTTACCCATCGCACCATTTGTGCCAAAGACCAATGGTGTAAAAACTGCTTGCTCAATTTCAATTACTCTTCGATTATATTCTCTTTTCTTCTCATTCTCATGACGTGAGAGGATCTTGTGGGTTGGTAGTAACTTATAGGACGCGGCGTTAAGATGTGCTACTCTTATGTCAAAAAATGCACTTTGGCCATGTCTATAGAAACCCCTAGCTTTCACATCAAGTCGTGATTCATCTTCTGTGTTTGTTGATCTCAAGGCAAATTCTTCTCCTGTCACCGGTTGTAAAGGTGGCTCGATAGAAAAATCATTGCAGACTTCAGACAGGAGAGCAGCTTCCAGATTTCTCATTTGGTCGTGGCGCGCGTGTATAAAGCCACCTTTTTTACACTCCATCGCGTGGTAAGGATCGAAAGGTTTTCCACAGGGACATATGCTTGGGAGACCTGGGATATATTTGTTATATCTCAGCGCCAAAGCGTCTCTGAATTCTTCTTTATTCAGACAGAAGCCTTCTTCTTGCAGTGGTAAGACATTTAACCATCCAGAGGCACCTTTATCTCGGGCTAAAGAGATTGTTCGATGCTGCTCTTGGGAAAGTTGAATATCAACCGATAATGAGGAGGTAGTTGCTCTTTCCACCCGAAGACTTCGAACTTGGGACTTTACGTTGGTTATTGCGTCGTCTTGTGGAAGTTGATTACACGCTTGAATGATGATCAAAGCAGATAGTGGAGCACATAACAGTTTTGACGTATTTCGCTCGAAATCAGCATCTTCTGGGATACGTGGTATTCCCAGTCCTCCATTACGTATGAGTAGAGCATAAGTTTCCCGATCAAGTTGAGAAATATCCTGGCCAAATATAGTTGGTAAAAATTTCGAACAAATAATTTCTTCTACAGGTTGGAACAAATGGGCAACGTTTGGAATAGTCCTGATGTAAAAAGTAAACTTGTGCTTATAACCTTGCACAAAAGCAGCGTATGCGGCATGTGGCTGCGACTTCGTTATAGAGCATAGATTTTCGAGCTCAGTACACCAAGTAGAGACTTTGCTATTAACATATTCCTTTCTGAAACAAGTAGATCCAATGACAGCTCCCAGTAATCTATAACCATCGGATGTAATCTTGATGTCGTGACTTTTAAATAATTCAGTGGCTCTCTCTATATCACACGGATCTTTAATTACTAACCAAGATTTCCCACTGTTGACATGGTATCCATACTTTACGCCTTCGCTTATTAGCATTTCAAAAAACGCCAGTAAAGCACGTAGTTTACCTGCTGCGGTCGAGTCATCGGCAAACCAAACCTGTTTCACCATATCATATGCATCATGAAGAAATGAAATTAATA